ACTACGGAAGTTGATTGCCCCATCTTCCTTCCGAGGAGTGGCTGGTGGGTTTGAACCGCCAGCCTTCTGGTTAGCAGTCAAGTGCCTAGGCACTATGCCAACAGAGCTACCATCAAAACCTATAGTTAAATAATATCTTTACCTCAATCCACTAAAGTTCAAGAACCTTACATTACTAAAATTCCATTGCAATCCTTCTTAACCTACATGCTCTTGTTGTCATGCCTCTCATTCTATTTTTAACATATATGGCATGGCTTTTGTGGTTTTGTAGAAGCAGTGTTCATTTATGTTTAACCACATATTAATCTTTTTTTCCTCCCTGTTCCATCTTGCGTCTTAGATAATTTTCTTTCTACCTGAAATAATTCTTTCAGTATTTCTTACAGGGAAGATCTTCTTGTGGTAAGCTCTCTCAGTTTTGGCTTTTATGAAAAATATTTCTTTCATTTTTGTTCTTGGACAGTATTCTCAGTTGATATAGAATTCTAAATCTGTAGTTATTTTCTGCTAGTAAGCTATATTCTGGCTTCCAACTGTTGCTGTTTTAGAAATTAGCTTTCATTCTGATTGTTGCTACCTTCAATGTATTCTGTCCCTTCGCTCTGCTTTGACTTTGACTCCTTTGTCTTTACTGTTCTGGAACTTTGCTACTACATGTCCCTTATAGATTTATGTTTTTCCCAGCTCAGAATTTGTTGTTGGACATAATCTATACAAAAAGAAAAAACCGGCGACTCATAGTGACCCCACCTTCGGTTTCCGAGGCAGTATCACTGTGGAAGTAGATTGCCCAGTCTTCCTTCTGAGGAGTGGCTGGTGAGTTTGAACCACCAGTCTTCTGGTTAGCAGTCAAATGCCTTAGGCACTACATCACCAGAGCTTCCATAATCTATACATTGGAGTTTTTATCAGTTCTACAAAATTATCAGGTGTTTTGTCTTTAGATATTTTCTCCACCCCATGCTTTCTCTCTTCTCTTTTAGGAATTCAGATTAAAGTATATGTTAATCCTTTCTCTTTCCTCTGATTTTTTTATAAATATTTCCCATGTTTTTTGTTTTTTGTGATATTTTAGACATTTTTTTTCTGATTTCTTTTGCAAATACAAAATCTTTGTTCAGTTATATCTTTAATGCAACCAAAGTACTCATTGCATTTTAAATTTATCATTGTGTGTTTAATAATCTAGAAATTCTATTTGAGTCTCTTTCAAATAAGCTAATCTACTTTTATAGTTTACGATCCTTTGCAGATACTTTCAAATGTGACTTTTATTCCTTTGAGTCTAATAATAATTTTTTATAATCTTTGTCTGATAATACCAGGATCAGATTGATTTTGGGGTCAGTTTTTACTGCTTGTTGTATTTGTAGCTTTTTATTCATAGTGGCTTATTTCCTTGTATAAAAAATAAACGCATTACCATTGAGTTAATGCTGACTCATAGCAACCCTATAGAACAGAGTAGCACTTCCCCTTAGGGTTTTCAAGGCTGTAATCTTTATGGATTGTTGTTGTTGTTTGCCGTCGAGTCGGCCCCGACTCATAGCGACCCCTCCTTGGGTTTCCAAGGCAGTATCACTACTGAAGCATAGTGGCTAAAGCACTTGACTGCTAACCAGAAGCCTGGCAGTTCAAACCCACCAGTCACTCCTTGGAAGGAAGGTTGGGCAATCCTACTTCCGTAGTGATACTGCCTCGGAAACCCAAGGAGGGGTCGCTATGAGTCAGGGCTGACTCGATGGCACACAACAACAACAATCGTTATGGAAGCAGAGTGGCACATCTTTCTCCTGCAGAGTGGCTGGTGGGTTCAACCCACTGACCTTTTGGTTTGCAGCTGACTGCTTTAACCACTGTGTCACCAGGGCTCCTGTTTCCTTTTATCTGTGGTTATATTTGACTGTGGTGGTAATTGGCCTTTGAAAAAATATGGTTCCCTAAGGCCTAAGATGGGAGCTCTGGTAGCGTAGTGCCTAAGGCACTTGACTGCTAACCAGAAGGCTGGCAGTTCAAACCCATCAGCCACTCCTCGGAAGGAAGATGGGACAATCTTCCATAGTGATACTGCCTTGGAAACCTAAGGAAGGGTCGCTATGACTTGGGTCCGACTCGACGGCCTATAACAACAACAACAAAGCCTAAGATAAAGGTTTTTTTCTTCAGAGAGGATTTGTATTTACTCCTGCCAGGTGTCTGGAGACATCTCAGTCTGGGACCACTTTAAGCTAAATTTATGGCTTGAAGCCATAGACAGATATCTATTTTCCTGGACCTCAGTTCCCAATGAGGGTTGGCACTTACATTTCTAGCACCAAAGCAATTCATCCAGCAGTTCTTTGAAGATAAGGAAGACTTATTTATTCTTGCTCACACTTACCCTGAAGACTCCAAGCTTCACATAATGAAGTCTGTGTGTTGATGGTGGTGGAGTGGACAGGAAAGGTCTATCAGATTACCTCCTGTGGACCCTGAGCTTTCCCCTTTATCCGCCATCAGAACCTCAATTTATTTTTATAACTGTTTCTTCCAGATAGGTAAATGCACTAAAATAAAAGCATCTTGTAATGCATGCTCACTTCTCTGGGCAAGGCCATCAAGTATAGTTGTTCAGGTTGTGTACTGTACAGTAGCATCACATCTTAGGGAGGACCAGTCAGCTACAGATATGTTTATTCTGAAACATGCTTGCGTTTATGTTACAACTTTTGGTCTCAAAGCTAGGAGACTATTATATTTTAATAATTTCCCAATAGATGACAGCTAAACTCCTTCTTCTAACAAAATCAAGATATTATGACCATTTTTTTTTTTTGACAAAGAAGAAGTAGTGTTTCATTCTAAGTGGTATTTTTCTATCTTAGTTTCTTAGTGCTTCTGTAACAAATGTACCACAAGTAGGTGGCTTTAAAGAACAGAAATTTATTTTCTTACAGCTCCAGGAGGCTAAAAGTACAAATTCAGGGCACCTTCTATGGGGGAAGATCCTTGTCTCTCTCACTTTCTGTAACCCCCGCATTCCTCAGTTTCTTGGCTGTCTTCACATGCCATCTCTCTCTTTCTCCCCTCCTTTGTTTTCCACCCCATTTGTGCTTGCTTCTGCATCTCATCTTCCAATAACTCAAAAGTAATTATGTTTAGGACATACCCAACACGAATGTGGCCTTTTTAACATAGTAAAGAAAATCTGTTCCCAAATGGGACTACATCCACACGTATAGGGGTTAGGATTCCAACACATTTTGGAGTGATGCAATTCAATCCATAACTGTCTTTACCTAAACTTGATCGGGCTACCCTAGGTATTGCTCTACCCCTCCAGGTGGCTCTTGGAACCAGAGTGCTCCCTTCGACATTGAAGTTTACTTACCTAAAGCTCCCTTTTGCTTTCAGTCTATGTCTCTGCCTTTGTGTGGATTCACGTTCCTATTGCAGTGTTCTGTATCACACATTCCTGGAAGCCACCATATGCCCATATATTGATAAGGCTGCGGGAAGACAAGGTACACCTAACATGGTGACTGTTCCCTTGCCCAGTAGGGGAGAAGAGCAGCAAACACAAACCAACTTGATATGGGAAGAGTTTTGACAATGTGCTAAGGGAATGGGCAGAGAGAACAGAAGCAAGCTGTTCTGTATTGGTCAGCCCAGCGATGGAGGAGGCAGAAGGCAGCACTGTGGCCTGAATCAGTGCTTTGGATGCCTTGTGACCCAATTCAGGGTACCTATGGCACTGAGCCTTCCCAGATAGTGTTTGTAAACTGTAAAACATCTTTTTAAAGGCAAAATTTGAAGACTTTATCCAGATAAGCCTGTCAGAGTAGGTGGTTAACATTTCTTTGTAAAAGAAAAAGACAGGAGCAAAAAATGAGTTAAAATACCAGTGTGATTGTCATCATTTGGTCCCAGGCATGAGGTGTGATGGGGTAGTTGCTGCAGTTGGGGTCTTCAGGAAAATAAGAAACTATAGTTCTGAAAGGCATCTGTGAGAGAATGAGTTTGCTGAGATTTCATTTCCACGGGTCCTGGATTCATACTGTGTTTGTGCTTATTTCCACACAGGGAAGCTCTTTGTGCTGGAGTCTCAGAATGGCTCTCAGGGCCTGGCACTGGAGGCAGCTCGGCTTTCCTGTAAGAGTAGGGGTGCCCACCTTGTGTCTGCAGACGAGCTGCGGAGAGTGGTCCAGGACTGCACCTTCTCAGTGTGCACCACAGGCTGGCTCGCAGACGGCACCCTTGGGTAAGTCAGTGAGCCAGGATTGAGACACTAGTGTGGACTAAAGTGCGGTGGGCAGTGACTTCCAGCATTTCTTCAAAGTCTTGTTTTGAGTTCTTAGACAAAAGCATTTTTCTGGCATTCTTTCAGTTTTATTTTTCCCTTTACTTGTTACTTGAATTTCCTTTTTAAGTTATAAAAATAATGCACTCTGATAAAATTTTAAGGTAATACATACGTGTGTGTGTGTGTGTATGTGTGTGTGTATATATATATGAGTGGCTAAGGCCACTTGACTACTAACCAGAAGGCTGGAGGTTCAAACCCACCAGCCACTCCTCGGAAGGAAGGTTGGGCAATCTACTTCCGTAGTGATACCGCCTCGGAAACCCAAGGAGGGGTCGCTGTGAGTCAGGACCAACTCGGTGGCACATAACAACAACAACTATATATATATAGTATACATATATATATATACACACACATACAAAGGACAGTGAGTTTCGTTTTTTTTTTCCCTATGTGACTCTTTTTTTATTTTTTTATAGTGATGTGGGTGAAAGTTTACAGATAAAATTCATTTTCCACAGAGCAGTTCATAACACATTTTGTTTCATGACATTGACTGTAATCCTCACAATGTAACAGCTCTCTTCCCACTTCCTCCCTGTGTCCATAATAACTGTCTTTACCTAAACTTGATAGTGCTACCCTAGGTATTGCTCTACCCCTCCAGGTGGCTCTTGGGACCAGAGTGCTCCCTTCGACATTGACAGTGAAGCAGTCACCTCTTCCCTGTGTCTTTCCCTCCCATGCACTCCCACTCCCCGCCCCAGCTGTCTCCCTGTTCAAACACTGCCCTTCTATTCTCCCACGTTTGATTGCTCCAAGGAGTGTATCTCCCTGATGTAAATGTTCTGAGTGTATATTCTTTATCCTTCTTCTCTATGGATATTTATTTACATATATATGTATAAGCCATTACCCATCTGTCCGTTTGTCACACTGTAATAGCTTGCATCTTGCTGTGATGCTGGAAGCTATGCCACTGGTATTTCAAATACCAGCAGGGTCACCTATGATCGACAGGTTTCAATAGAGCTTCCAGACTAAGACATACTAGGAAAAAAGGCCTGGAAATCTATTCCCCAAAAGTAGCCAATGTAAACATGATGGATCACAAGAGAATATTGTCCAACTCACTTACTTTGGATGTGTCATAGGAAAAGATCACTCATTAGGGGAGAACATTGTGTTTGGTGAAGTAGAGGAGCATTGAGGGTGAGAGAGACTCTTGGTGAGATGAATTGGTCCAGTAGCTGCACTAATGGACTTGAACATGCCAGTAATCATGAGGATAACACTAGAGCAGGCACAGTTTCATTCTTTTCTGCATGGTGTCACCATGAGTTGTAGTCAACTTGATGGCAAGTAATAACATATGTATAGGAAGATGGTAAGTATAACAAGAAATACAGACACAAATTCCTTCACCCCATGGGAGAAAGACATGGCAATTTGCTTCTGTAAATATTAAAGCCTAGAAAACCCTATGGGGCTTCTGTTTGACTCTGTCACATTAGGTCACTATGAGTTGGAATGAACTTGAAGGTACCTAACAGCAATGACTCCCATTGACAGGTGGGGTATATGCCCCCTCCCTTTAAATTAGGGCAGCAGGTTGTTCCCATGAATGGTAGATACAACAGAAGTTGTTGCTTTGTGACTTCTAAGGTTAGGTCAGAAAAATCCACGTACTTTTCACCTGGACTTCTGGAGACACTTTTTTTTTTTTTAAACTGTGATTTGGGTGAAAGTTTACAGAGCAAATTCATTTTCCATACAGCAGTTCATACACATTTTGTTCTGTGACATTGATTGCAGTTCCCATAATGTAAAAGCTCTCTTCCCACTTTCTCCCTGTGATTATCTTTTTTCCTTGGTCTTTCTTTCCTACATATTCCTGCCCTCTGAGCCATCTCCCTATGCAAATACTGCACTTCTGACCTCCCATGATTGATTGTTCTAAAGAGTGTAACTACTTGATGTAATTGTTCACCTTATGTTGTTGTTGTTATGTGCCATCAAGTCAGATCCGACTCATAGCGACCTCTCCTTGGGTTTCTGAGGCAATATCACTATGGAAATAGATTGCCCAACCTTCCTTCTGAGGAGTTGCTGGTGGGTTTGAACTGCTAGCCTTTTGGTTAGCAGTCAAGTGCATTACGCACATACCTGTCTGTTGTTTGGCTGGAAACCACAGGAGTGAGTTCAGTTCCAGGCCTGAAAGGTGACTATGGGCCATAGTCTTAGAGGTTTTTCCAATCTCTGTCAGACCAGTAAACACAGTCTTTTTTATGATTGAGTATTTTCCACATTTTTCTCCCACTTTATCCAGGCTTTCTTGCACTTACCCCTTTCCAAGTGGTTGACAGTGGTAGCTGGGCACCATCTAGTTCTTCTGATCTCATGGTCATATAGGCTGAGGTTCACATGGTCCACTAGTCCTTGGAGGCACTTGCTTTTTAGCTTTCAGTTCCCATGTAAGAATTCTGACTACCTTGAGACATTATGCTGTGAGAAAGCTGAGGCTTCATGGAGAGGCCCCATGTAGGTACTCCTACTGACAGCTCCAGCTAAGGCCTGTCTGATAGCCAGCATTAACTGATAGAAATATAAGTAAAGATGCCTCCAGGTGACTCTATTCCTGAGCTGTTGCTTTATCTCTAGCTTATGAGGTTTCCTAGCTAAGGCCCTAGACATTATAGAGCAGAGACAGGCCCTTCCTACTCTGTGTTATCCGAGTTCCTCACCCAGAAATCATTGAGCAGAAGTAATTTCTGTGGTCACCTAGGAGAAAAACTTTCCAATAGTGCCAGTACCTGTTTTTTGAGTTGTACTCAGAGAAGGCGGAAGCCATTGCTCTTTCTCCCTCATGACATGGGAATATGAAAAGCAAAACACATTCCAAAATAACTTTGATTGATAATAACCCTGAAGTTGTCTTTCTGGCGGAAGGTCATGGGTCGTGGAGAAAATACACAGCCACCTGACTCATGTTTCTAAAATGTGACAAGTGTGAAACAGCAGTTGAATAAAGAGAAGGACAGCCAAAACTACTCCAAACCTTTCCATTTAATCTGGAACTGTGGTCATTTCTGCCATATATTTTATGCCCACCCTCCTAAATGGAAAAAATATGCCCCATGCTTGCATGTTTCTATAATGAGATCAAGTGTGAATATTCTCATAACTCTGTTAATATAATTTCATGAGATAACTAGGATACTCAGATACTGTAAAGAGCCGGATTAGAGCTAGGATTAGGTCTCTATGCATTATAAGTCAGGACTGCATCGTCAGATCTGTAAGGTGTTAAGATACATTAGTGGACCTCTACATGCTGAGATGATAAATTCTCAAACCCTCATTGCCGTCGGGTTGGATCCGACTCATAGCGACCCCTTCTTGAGTTTCCAAGGAGGTATCACTATGGAAGTAGATTGCCCAACCTTCCTTCCGACATGCTGAGATGATATTTCTTTATAAAGCAAATATAATTATTTGTTATTTACTACATAACATCTTTTTAAAATAGTTATTTTTTCCATTTTGGTGTTTCTGGAACCAGGAAGTATCTGATGATTATTAGTACATACATTTCCTGTTTTTTTCCCGTATCATACTCCCAGTCCTGTACACAATTCTCAAATGCATGGTGCTTCTTGTCATTGAGGGCATGGTAGACATATAGTAGATCTGATCTGTATCTCCATGAGTGCATGTTGAGTATACAGATAAGCAGAATTGCCTAATTAATCACTGCAGAGTTAGGCTGAATGTCTCATCAGCATTGGGTTGTTTCACAGGCAATTAGGTATGTACTTTTATTTTTTTATACATATGACAATTCTGTAGGAAACTTCACATTTGCTTTCTTTTTAAGCCAGCTTTCAAAAGGCAAAGCCAATTGTGTCTTTCAAAGAATATAGAGCTATGATTATCTGAGAGAGTCACGTTCCTACACAGTAGACACATACAAGGCAGGTCTCTAGAGAAAGACGAAAGCTATCTTTTGGGTTTTTTTTAATGGTTTGTTTTTATAATCACAAAAACTATTCTTTCAACCTCAGATATGAACTGAATATACTGTCAATGCCTTGGGGTCAAACTGTGGTCCTCTCTGCCTGATATTTTAGGTCCATCATCCTAAATAGACATATTGTGCCCCATGAATGCACATTTCTGTAGTGTAGCCAAAAATCTTCCTGTAAGGAAAACACCATGCACAAACGACCTCACTATCAAACATTTAAAAAACAAAAAATACCAGTCTTACATATATCCTTTCATAGAATAGAGCTTTACCATTTGTCAAATGAAGAAATCATATTTGGAGATCTCTATCTCAGAAACCCCAGCTTTCTGACTCTATGGTTCCATGAATTTATTCCTGTGGGGTTTTACCTTCCTCTCTGGATTTACCTAAATGTTTTTTTTTTTTTTTTTTTTCCCATGGAGAAAAAGAGAGGATAAAATGAAAACTGTATATCCAATGGCAGTAATCTTGTCCAAGTAAATAGAAATGTCCATGGAAGGAGTTGGGTCAGTGTCCCATGGTGGCATTCCCAGGTGCAGTGTATGTGGTCTAATAAAAGATAATTGTTAGAAGTCTAAGATTCAAGTCCAAGCTCTGTACCTTTTCTAGCTGTGTGATTTTGAGCAAGACCCACTTACCTTAGTTTACACATTTGTGAAATGATAATGAGTAAAAATAATAAGTACTGGTTATGTTGAGATGGAATTGGTGGGTGACTGCAAATAGTTAAGCAGTGAACTGGTAACTGAAAGATTGGTGGTTCATACCCACGCAGAGGCACCTTAAAAGAAAGGCATGGTGATCTGCTTCTGAAAGGTCACAGCTATGAAAATCCTATGGGATACAGTTTTACTTTGAAATACATGAGGTCACCATGAGTCGGAATCAACTTGATAGCAACTGGTAAGGTATAGTATAGTATAGT